CGTGGAACTAGGTAAATGATTTTTCATTGATCGATTTATTTGTGAAAAGTAATGCCAAGTGCCAAATATTAAACAGTTTGGGAAAAATTTGTTGATTTTAAGATCAAAAGTAGGGAAATTTGTGTATGACCTTAAAAGGCAGCTATATGAATGGGTGGGCTTAAGTAAGTTATTTTTGGCGAGATGATTTGTTTAGGAAATATAATATTTCTTACCAAATATTTAGTAAATTGCTTGTTGTTTGTGGATTTTTAGAACCAAAAATAGGGAAATTTGAAGATGGCCTTAAAAAGGAGCTATATGAATGGATGCATCTAGGTCAATTATTTTTGCTCTTTGTTTTTGCTGTCATATAAGACTTCAAAATACCAAATTGTGGACAAATCGATTAATCTTTATAGACTTTAGAGGCAAAAGTAGGGAAAATTGTTTATATATTTTCAAGGGAGCCATATGTTTATGAAAGAACGTAGAGATTAACAAATATAAAGAAAATTGCATGAAGTTTGTGGAATTTAGAACCAAAAATAGGGACATTTGAAGATGGCTTTACAAGGGGCCAATGGGAATGCATGGACCTAGGTGAATGATTTTTGCTCTCAGTGTTTATTATCATATACGACTTCAAATCCCCAAATTGTGGACAAATCGATCAATCTTTACAGATTTTAGAGGCAAAAGTAGGGACAATTGTTTATATATTTACAAGGGAGCCATATGAAAGCTTAGGCCCAAGTTAATAATTTTTGGTAAGACAATTTTCCTTTGAAAAATAATACTAATTGTCAAAAATCAAGTAATTTGGATTGAATTTATTGATTTTATAGTCAAAAGTAGGGAAAATTGATTATGGCTTTACAAGGCAGCCATATAAATGGATGGACCTAGGTAAATTTTTGATTTGAGTATTTGCGATCATATACGACTTAAAATCCCCAAATTGTGGACAAATCAATCATTCTTTATAGATTTTAGAGGCAAAAGTAGGGAAATTGTTTATATATTTACAAGGGAGCCATATGAAGGCGTAGTCTCAAATTGATAATTTTTGGTAAGAAAATTTGTCTTTGAAAAATAATGTCAATTGCCAAAAATCAAGCAATTTGAGTGTAAATTGTAGATTTTAGAGCCAAAAATAGGGAAAACTTAGTATGACTTTGAGAGGAAGCCATGTGAAAGAATTGATCGCGATAAATTATTTTTGATTGGAGGATTTATTTCTGAAATTCCAAGCCATTAATATAAGGCAAATTATGTGATGTCCCATATATAAATATTAAAAAATTCTCATCATTCTATGGCATTTTAAGTCTTCTCTTTCCCCCTTTTTAAAACCTCTCCAAAGTCTCTTCACATCTCAATCAAATTCAAATGTTTTCTTTTTAAGTATTTCAATTGTCCTAAAAATCACACAACAATTCGTTACAATTTCATCTTTTTCTTGGTAACCATTCACCTACCTCCTCCCCCTCCCTCTCTTCCACACAAATTATGAACGACAACAATTAACACCATTATTTTGCGCCCATTTTCAAATGCATCTCTGTGGTGGTGGTGGCTGTGGTACCTAATTCCTTCGTTTGTTTACATTTCTAATTCTCTGCTGTGCCGTGTGAATCTCTGAAAAAGAGAGATTACCTCCAGTTATCTCATCAACGTTAAATTGTCTAACATTTTGACTATTTTTCGTGTGACACGAGTTGTTGTTGTTATGCTTACTATTATGTTTGGATAATTGAATTTGTTTGCATCGTCACACACAGAGGCACACCTGTGTACGGTCATGCCCCAAACACGCACACGAACACACACACACACACACAACTATTTCACAGAGATGTTATTATTCCTCTTCACCATGAAACAACACCAGCAAAAAAGCAAAAGGTTCATCCTCAAGTGTCCAGTGTTGAACTGCTAGGGAGTGTAAGAAAGGGAGTGAGGAGAGAGAGAGAAGGAGAGAGTTGAGGTATGTTATGTACTCTTCATGTAACCCGAGATGAGCCGAAATAAAGGTGACTTTGTTTTGTTACTTTCTGTTGTGAATCGTTGCCGTAGTTGTTGTTGTAATTATTTGGGGGGTAATTTTGTTGTTGTAGAATTTAGTGTGTGTGTATTACTTCGTGTTTGTAAAATGTCGATGGTTGTTATGTGATTTTTGTATTGGGAGAGTGGGTATTCTATGAGAATGGCTTTATTTTGATGTTGTTTTGTGTGTGACGGGAGCCTAACAAGGAAACTAAACAGAACAGTCAAACGTTTCGTGCGTTAATATCGTCGTTATGACGTAGATATGTATATTCGGGCAATATCGTAATGGTGCATAGCACGCAAGATTGCTGTGGTGTTGTGTGAACAGCAAAGGAAGCAAAGGGGAAGAGATGGGCAAACCATGAATCTTATGGGGGCCTTGTTATATGAAATAAAAAAATATATAAAAAAAATAAAAACAAAATTAAAAATAAATAATAAATAGGGTAAATCAATCCTACATGCCTACATGTTAGTCGATTCAAGGTTTCTCTCATATCTTTTTATACCTTCCACCCTATTGTGGAGGGTTGTCATTCCATTGGTAACTCCTCAAAATAATCATGTCAGACCCAACAAAGTATATATATTCTTGATCAGAGTAAAACGTTTTCACATAACCCTCATATAACCTACCTCACAATATTCGGTATTTTGATGCTTGTTGCGTAATTTTTAACCGAAATTGTTTCAAATTCGGTATTTAAAGTTCGTAATGGGTACTACAACCTGTGAAAAAAAATTCTTATGCAGGCCCATGTCTTCGTATAGCCCCCCATATTTTGATGATTTTAGCGAAGTTTTTAACCGAAAATGTTTCAAATTCTGTATTTAAAGTTCATAATGGGCACTACAGCCTATGACAGAAAATTGTCTATGAAGGCCCACGTCTTCGTACGGCTCCCATGCAACGGTACCTCTTAATATTCGGTATTTTGATGGTTGTTGCGAAAATTTGAACCGAATTTTTTTCAAATTCGGTATTTAAAGTTCGTAATGGGTACTACAACCTGTGAAAAAAAATTACTTATCCAGGCCCACGTCTTCGTATAGCCCCCCATATAACTGTACCTCCCTATTTTCGGTATTTTGATGGTTGTTGCGAAAATTTTAACCGATTTTTTTTCAAATTCGGTATTTAAAGTTCGTAATGGGTACTACAACCTGTGAAAAAAAAAAATACTTATCCAGGCCCATGTCTTCGTATAGCCCCCCATATAACTGTACTTCCCAATATTCGGTATTTTAATGATTTTTGCGTAATTTTTAACCGAAATTGTTTCAAATTCGGTATTTAAAGTTCGTAATGGGTACTACAGCCTATGACAAAAAATTATTTATGCAGACACATTTTTTCGTATAGCCCCCATACAACGGTACCTCTCAATATTCGGTATTTTTATAATTTTAGAGACAGTTTTTTAGCAGAATTGTTTCAAATTTGGTATGTAAAGTTCGTAATGGGTACTACAGCCTATGGCAGAAAATTGTCTATGCAGGCCCACGCCTTCGTATAGCCCTCACACAACTGTACCTCCCTATTTTCGGTATTTTGATGATTTTAGCGAAATTTTTGCCGGAAATGTTTTAAACTGGGTATGTAAAATTCGTAATGGGTACTACAGCCTATGAGAAAAAATTATTTATGCAGACACACTTTCTCGCATAGCCTCCATACAACGGTACCTCTCAATATTCGGTATTTTTATAATTTTAGAGACAGTTTTTTAGCAGAATTGTTTCAAATTTGGTATGTAAAGTTCGTAATGGGTATTACAGCCTCTAACAGAAAATTGTCTATGCAGACCCACGTCTTCGTATAGCTCCCATACAACGGTACCTCTCAATATTCGGTATTTTTATCATTTAAGAGACGCTTTTTAGCAGAATTGTTTCAAATTCGGTATTTAAAGCTCGTAACGGATACTACAGCCTATGACAGAAAATTATCTATGCAGGCCCACGTCTTCGTATAGCCCCCCATATAACTGTACCTCCCTATTTTCGGTATTTTGATGATTTTTCCGAAATTTTTAACCGGAAATGTTTTAAATTTGGTATGTAAAGTTCGTAATGGGTACTACAGCCTATGACAAAAAATTATTTATGCAGACACACTTTCTCGCATAGCCTCCATACAACGGTACCTCTCAATATTCGGTATTTTTATAATTTTAGAGACAGTTTTTTAGCGGAATTGTTTCAAATTCGGTATTTAAAGCTCGTAACGGATACTACAGCCTATGACAGAAAATTGTCTATACAGAATCATGTCTTCGTATACCTCCCATATAACTGTACCTCCCAAAATTTGGTATTTTGCTGATTTTAGCGAATTTTTTTTAACCGCAAAAGTTGCAAATTTCGTATTTGACGTTCGGAATGGGTGATACAGCCTATGACAGAAAATTACACATGCAGGCTCACCCTTTCGTATGGGCATCATATATTGATAACTCCCTAAATTGGGTATTTTCATGATTTTAACCACATTTTTCAACGGATTTTTTTTAAAGTTCGTAATTGACATTCGTAATGGATACTACATCCTATGACAGAAAATTGCAGACCCACGTCTTCGTATAGCCCCCATATAACTGTACCTCCCAAAATTTAAGATTTCGATATTTTTAACGAGATTATTCACCGGATTTTTTTTTAAATGTCCTATTTGAAGTTCGTAATTGATACCACAACCTCGCTGATAAAAAAGACCCCGCCGGTGCGAATCTATTTCGATCGACCATTTACCATTCTTATTGTGGAAAAATCCGCTAATTTTTATCACTATTTGCCGGTAAAATAATGTAGCATGCATAAACAAGATATAGAATGGGTCACTAAACGTTGGGGTTTTCTTTTGTTCTTATGGGACTATAAAGAGGTTAGATTACGGCAATGACTTCCAATTTGATTGCTTTGTTCTTGAATTGGTGGCGGTATTTTGAAATCGACTTCATTTGTTGTGATATTTTCTATATTCACGAAGTGCATTTCAAAGAGAATACAACAATATCGGAGTGCAGTTCGGAAAATGTTCATTTCAAGACCCAAGAAAGGTATGGATGGCAAGTTGCTGGAGTTTACAGCCAGTAACAGTCGAAATATACCACTTTCCCAAATGTGGCGAGGTAGTTGGTGTTCCTTGATACCCACATTTGGTGCAGTGCTTGATAAAATTTTACAACTGGAGGTAAGATCTGATGATGTCTTCCTGGTGACCTTCATGAAATCCGGTACCACATGGATGCAGGAAATGGCTTGGATGCTGCTAAATGATTTGGACTATGAGCAAGGCGGATGTTTGCATCTTACACAGAGAAGTCCTTTTTTAGAGTGTGATAGGATTATTGTGGTCCAAGAAGTATGGAAATAATGATTTTTTTTATTTAAGGGCCCAAGGTACCAGGCCTAATTCAGGCAATGAAATTGAAAGGTGTAACACTTTGTCCAGTCCTAGGCTAATAAAATCTCATTTGCCGGCGTATCTATTGCCACAGCAGATATGGGAGAAGAAAACAAAGGTAAAGATACCAGAGATACCACCTGAATGTGAAGTCTTTTATTTTCCCCTAATTTCAGATAATTTATGTGGGCCGCAATTGCAAGGATGTCATTGTCTCCTCATATCATTTTATCAAAGGTGTCGGTTATCTAAGTGATTCGAATTTGGAGGACTATGTCAATCATTTTATAAAGAATGAAATCATTTATACAAGCTATTGGGATCATGTCCTAAATTTCTGGAAAATCCGCAATGAACCGAATGTTTTCTTTGTAACCTACGAAGAAATGATGCGAGATTTGCAGGGAGTCATCGAAAGGTTGAGTGAATTTTTGGACAAGCCTAGACTGAAAGATGAGGAAATGCAGAAACTATTGGAACATTTATCATTCGACAAAATGAAGGGTAAGGGAAATGTTCAGACTTTTTGGATATCAAAATCAAAAAAAAAACACTAAAAATACAAAGTGGCCTAAGCCAACTGAAGATTTTTTAGGGTCTACTATGTACCCAGGGCTTCTATAAACCAGAAAGAAACTCCAGATCACTCTATTAGCCATTAGCGACCATTGGATATTCTATAATCCATACAAGACCTACAGGTTTTCTATAAGACTTAGAAGACTTTTCGGGCCTGTTATAAGCCACACAAGTCTTTCAGGCATTCTGTAAGCTTTTGAGGATATCCATGTCTTTAATGAGTCATAAAAGATCTCCAATTTTTTATAAGTCATTACAGAACTTCATGTCTTTTATATACCTCCAGGACAAAAATCGTCTTCAGGTATTCTAAAAGTCATGGAAAACATCCAGGACTTCTATAGGTCACAGAAGACCTCCATGACATCAATAAATCAGGGAAGACATTCAGTTCTTCTATAAGTCATGGAAAATCTCCAGGTTTTTTTAAAGTCATGGGAGATCTCCAGTTCTTCTATAGGTCACAGAAGACTCCCGTTCTTCTATAAGTCATGAAAAACCTCGAGGTTTTCTATAAGTCATGGGAAATCTCCAGTTTTTCTATAGACCACAGAAGACCTCCCTGACATCCTGACCATATAAGACATGTGAGTCATTTACAAGCCATACAAGTCATCCATGTCATCTATGACTTATGGCTTTCATAAACCACACGAGATCCTATGGCTTTCTATAAACTATTGAGGCAAGCCATGTCTTATGAAAAGACCTAAAAGATCTCCAAGCCTTTTATGAGCCATTACAAACATTCATGTCTTTTATATGTCGTACAATGCCTGCAGGACTTAGATGATCTTTAGGTCTTCTATAAGTCATGAAAAACCTTCAGTTCTCCTTTAAAACACAGAAGACCTCCTTGACATTTATAAGCCAATGAAGACCTCCAAAACTTATTTATGTCAGGGTTGCCTTCCAGGTCTTCCATAAGCTTTTGAAAACCTTTAGATTTTCTGTAAGTCATCATAAACTGTCATAAGCCATATAAGACATACAAGCCATATGAGTCATTTACAAGCCCTATGACTTATGGCTATCCTAAGCCACTCGAGATCCTCAGGCTTTCAATAAGCTATTGAGGCGCGCCATGTCTAAAATAAGTCGTAATAGATCTCCAAGCCTTTTATGAGCCATTACTGACCTTTATGTCATTCATATATCATACAATGCCTCTAGGACCAAAGAAGATTTTCAGGTCTTCTATAAGTCATGGAAAACCTCCAGGTCCTCCATAAGTCAAGGAAAACCTCAGTTCTTCTTTAGAACACAGAAGACCTCCATGATCTCTAAAAGCCATGGAAGGCCCTTAGGACTTCTATAAGTCATGGTACCTCTCCAGGTCTTCTTTAAGCCATTGAAAGACTTTAGGTCAGTCATACGCCATATAACACATACAAGCCATATGAGACATAAAAGCCATATAAGACATACAAGCCATATGAGTCATTTACAAGCCATATAAGAAGACCTCCAGGTCTTCTAATACCCACTTAAAACCTTCATATTTTTTAAAAGCCATGCAAGAGGTGAAGGTCTTCTATAAGCCATACAAGACATATAGGTTTTCTATAAGACATATGAGACCTCGATATCTGCTATACACCAAGAAGATCTACATGTCTTCTATAACCTACAGAAGACCTTCAGGTCTTTTACAAATCACGGAAGAAAAAACTAAGTCTCTTATTAGCCATTGTCATTTGATCAAATACATATCTTGAAATTTTTCAGAAAACCCTCAAACTAACGCCACAGCCAATATAAGGAGCAAAATTTCCAATGTTCGGGAAAATTTCCAGTGAGTTCAAGATTCCTTCAGAAAATTGTATCTTAGTAATTTCCAAACAATAATTCCAGATTTATGCGGCGAGGAATAGTGGGCTCCTATCGTGATGAAATGACCCCAGCATTGCAGGCCAAAATAGATAAGTGGTCAGCAGAGAAATTAAGCGAGCATGGTCTCACCGAGGAGGATATTTTTGGAAAATTGTAGAACCATGAAGGATATGAATTTCATATGGGCAAAGGTAGTGAATATTAAATAAAAATGAAAAAAGTTACATGTGTTTTTGATTGGGTTAGAATTTATGAAAAGTATGCAGCGGATTTATGAAAAGTATGCAGCGGATTTATGAAAAGTATGCAGCGGATTTTTTTGCAATTGTCGTCAATATCATAAAGGGAAAATCATTTATCGTAGTAAAAACTTTTACATACTTGCAGTTCTGGAACATACCTTATATCGGGTAACTCTAAAAATTAACACATATCCCATATGTAAAGTGAAGGAAGTAGTCTTTATATTCCAAACCTGGCACGCCACAATATTTATATCATATTTATTTAGGTCCGCACAATATTCTTCCATTCCTTCGATACCTACTCCATAGAGGGTCAACAATTTGAATATTCATTAGAGAGGTAAAAAAATATATTTAAATAATCGACCATTGCCCTGAGGGTAAACATCTATCGGCAAAACCGACACTGACCCTTTTTAACTTGTTCCATTTACTTTTGACTTCAAATTACTTAGCAAAAAGTAGACAGTAGACAATCTACTCCATAGAAGGGTCAACAATTTGAATAATCATAAGAGAAGTCAAAATATATTTAAATAATCGAACATTGTCTCAGGGTATACATTTGTCGGCAAAACCGACACTGACACTTTTTTTACTAGCTCCATTTACATTTGACTTCAAATACCATAGCAACAAAATTGTCATAGATTAGCACTGAAGAGAAGTTTAAGCTCTTACCTATCCAATAACGAAAAAATCATGAAAATATCTCTATCCGTTGCAAAGTTATGGACATTCAAAGCTTTGTGGCGTGCCACTTACTTCTCCACCCCGTTAAGATACATTTGCCTCTGTGAACGAGAGTAGAATTCTTCTCCACCATATACAGATGTGTGCGTGTGTGTTTATTTTTCATTCAACAGCCAGCCAGCCAGCCTGTCCATGCTTCCATCCATGTGTTTGTTTATGCTGCTGCACACACACATTCACACACACAAACGAACAGTTGTTAACATGGCCGAAGATGTTGGTTTTGTTGGTGGTTGTTTTGCTTTTCATTTGCGTTTGTGGGGTGGGGGTGGGGGATTTCTCTCAATGCACAAAACTGGATTTGAGCGAACCTTTAACGGCCACAAAATAGATATACAAATCAAACACACATGGGCACACACACACACACAGAGAGAGAGGGAGAGAGAGCAACAAAGCAAAGCCATGCCAAAAGAACATGACCGACCATAAATGTTTGTTGGGCTACAACAAAAATCTTACCAAACATAAAACAGTGTGTGAGTGTGTGTGTGTTGTGAGTGTGGCAAATGCAATCATGGTTGGTATGGATGCCCAGTTAGATTTGGCCCAAAGCAAAAGAGAGATGCCAGGTGGTGAGAGAGAGACAGAGAGAGAAAAATAGAGTAATAGAGTACAGGTTATTTATGCGCATGTTGGAGGTTGATGGGCTCCTTTTATTCTACTGATTCTTATGGGTGTCCACCACCATCATCACCATTGTTGCCTAGAAGAAGAAGCAGAGCAGAGATGTATGGGTACTGGCCAAAAAAAACCTTTGCCGTCAGTAGTTAACCAACATTTCGTGAGCTCGGTTTCGTCAACCCAACAAAACGGGAAAAATCAAAGAATCTCCGATTTTTTTTCTTCTTCTCATTCATATTTTCTCCTCAATGTGTGAATCTCTGGGAGTGTGTGTGCGCGCGTGTGTGTGTGGCGTTGTAACGTTTTGTGTAACTATTGGAAATTGTACAAAAAAAAAAGAAAATTAATATTTTTATTTAAATAATAACAACAACAAAAAAGAAGCTAAAGATCTTTGGAAACATGTATTTTTGATACCAAGAAAAAGTTTTTAAATTTTCATGGGAAAAAAGAGGTTTGAAAAAATTTTTTTTTTGAGAAAAAAAAAGTGGAAGAACCAGCCAGAAAAGAGAAACCAAGAATCCTTTTTATTGATTTTATGTTGCGCATTAAATGGTGAAAAAAGGCAAAGGAGACATAGAAGAAGATTAAGTCCAAGCCACCAACAAAAATTGTCAAACAAGAAATTTTGAAAGAGAGGGAGAGGGAGAGAGAGAACCTCATTTGCTGAGAGAACGCGTGTGTTATGTTTGTGTAACGTAAAAGCCAAGTCAAAGCCTTCAAGTGGCCAACAGTAAAAAATATATAGGTATGATGGTATTGGTGGTGAATTAAAACCGTGGTGAATTTTTCAACGCTATTTTGTTTACCCTACTCTCTGCACTCATTTGGGCTAACTCTGCGTTTTTTTCTTTTTTGCCAGCTTCGAACACACGAAGCATAAGCATAAAGGAAAAATCTGCAATAAAGCAACAACAAATACTTGTACATGCAAATACAAATACAAAGTGATTGGAAAAGAAATACAAAGTATCAAGAACAAGTTACGGCAAGAATTCTGCCTTTGCCAGAGAATTTTATTTGAATTAAAAACGAAGGAAAAAAATACAAAAATAATAATAAAAAATTAATAAAAATATAATTTCAGTTGAAAAAATAAAAACAAATACCAAATCTAAAGGAAAATCCATGAAAAAAATTGATGGGAAATAACAAGAAAATTGGTGTATAACAAAGAAGAAGAAGAATAAATGGAGGAAAAAATACCTATTAGGAGAATTCGAGAAGAAAATTGTGTTTTTTTATGAAAAATAATTGATTAAAAATTAAAAAAAAAAAAATACTTTTACCTAAAAAAATACCCAATCGTTTGTGGAATTAAAAAAAAAATTGGAAAAGAAAATTTAAAAAATAATAGAAAAAAAAATAAAAAAAAATTATTAAGTGAATTTAAGTTAATGGAAAATACAAAAAAATATTTTAATAAAAATTTGATATTAATAAAAATATTAAAATTAAAAAAAATAAAAAATTAAAATATTTTAACATCAAGTGTGTGTTTATGCAAAAGGAATACCCACAAAGGAGTCCTTTATCTCAACCACAGCCAACTAAAAAGGAATAAAATTAAGGTAACTTTTGTCATAAGGGAGGTACCATTATATGGGGGCTATACGAAGACGTGGACCTGCACAGACGATTTTCTGTCTTAGGCGAACTTCAAATACCAAATTTGAAACAATTCCGGTTAAATAACGTCGCTAAAACCATAAAAATACAGAAAATCGGGAGGTACCATTATATGGGGGCTATACGAAGAACTAGACCTGCACAGACAATTTTCTGTCATAGGCTGTAGGCCTCCATTACGAACTTCAAATACCAAATTTGAAACAATTCTGGTGAATAATGTCGCTAAAATCATCAAAACACCGAATATCGGGAGGTACCATTATATGGGGGGTATACGAAGATGTAGACCTGCACCGACAATTTTTTGTCACAGGCTGTAGTATCTATTACGAACTTCAAATACTAAATTTGTAACAATTCCGATGAATAATGTTGCAAAAATCACAAAATTCTGAATTTCGGGAAGTACTATTATATGGGGAGCTATACCAAAACGTGGACCTGCACAGACAATTTTCTGTCACAGGCTGTAGTATCCATTACGAACTTCAAATACTAAATTTGAAGCAATTCCGGTGGATAATGTCGCTAAAATCATGAAAATACCGATTATCGGGAGGTACCATTAAATGGGAGCTATACGAAAACGTGGAGCTACATGGCCCATTTTCAATACCAAAAGTCCTGAAGACATAATATATATTTGAGCAAAATTTAATCAACCTACTTCATTTCGTTCGGAAGCTAAAGTGATTTCCAAAGACGGACGGACATCGTTGTTTTTCAAAATCTTGAACCCTATGTGGGGCAGGTACCAGAAGAAATGGTTCGATCTCTAACATCTTTATAACAGATCTTATGTTGATGGAAATATTGAGATTTGTCAAGTCTGAATGGAATCGGATGTTAATTTCGCGTTTTAAGAGCTTCGTTAATATTCAAAACTTTGAACCCTTAGTGGGAGAGGTACCAGAAGGATTGGACCGATATCTTCCATCTTCACACCAGACGTAAGGTCAATAAAAATATTGTGCTGTGTGTAATTTGAAGACAATCGGACTCTTACATCAGTTTATTGGAGTTACAATTATTCAAAATTTTCACCCTTAATGGGGGAGGTACTTGATGGAGTCAAGCGATATTGTTCATTTTCACACCTGATCTAGCATTGATGCAAATATTAGGATTTGCAAAGTTAGAGCAAAATCGGATGATTCTTTCTCCGTCTGTGCAGTAAGATATTTTCTTTGAAAATTCTGACATTTTGTGTGGGAGATACCAGAAGGAGTGGAGCGATATTGCCCATTTCCGAATTCGATCTTTGTTTTATAATAATATTACGATGTACCAAGTTTAGATGACATAGGATACTCCCTTCGAAAGTTATCGTTGGCACCAGCCAGGCAGACAGACAGGCGGACGGACATGGCTAGATCCACTCCAAATGTCCTGAATCGGATTTGGTCTAAGGAGGCCTAGGGTCTAAAATCGTTATTTCGATGATGCTCCTTTTGGCCGTATAAATAGCCTCTCTAGCCATATGGCTGAGGGTATAAAAATGTTCTCCTTAGAATAAAAACCTTCAATGGATTTAAAAAATTCCTCTGAAAACTTGACAATTTTCATTCATCCGTATAGACGACCTGGCGGGCCAAGGAGTCTATATAGATCAGCTGTAGGGCCAGGGAGTCACAATAGACGACCTAAAGGAGTCTGGAGAACCAAAGAGTCTATATAAACCAGCTGGATTGCCAGGGAGTCTAAATAGACGAGCAGTAGGGCCAGGGAGTCACAATAGACGAGCTGGAGGGCCAGAGAGTCTAAATAGACGAGCTGGAGGGCCAGAGAGTCTAAATAGACGAGCTGGAGCGACTGGGAGTCTAAATAGACGAGCTGGAGGGCCAGGGAGTCTAAATAGACGAGCTGGAGGGCCAGGGAGTCTAAATAGACGAGCTGGAGGGCCAGGGAGTCTAAATAGACGAGCTGGCGGGCCAGGGAGTCTAAGTAGACGAGCTGGCGGATCAGGGAGTCTAAGTAGACGAGCTGGCGGATCAGGGAGTCTGAATAGACGAGCTGGCGCGCCAGGGAGTCTGAATAGACTTGCTGGCGGACCAGGGAGTCTAAATAGACGAGCTGGAGGGCCAGGGAGTCTAAATAGACGAGCTGGAGGGCCAGGGAGTCTAAATAGACGAGCTGGAGGGCCAGGGAGTCTAAATAGACGAGCTGGAGGGCCAGGGAGTCTAAATAGACGAGCTGGCGGGCCAGGGAGTGTAAATAGAAAAGCTGGCGGGAGGGAGTCTAAAAAGGTGAGGTGGAGGGTCAGGGAGTCTAAGTGGACGAGCTGGCGGGCCAGGGAGTCTAAATAGGATATCTGGAGCGACAGGGAGTCTAAATAGACGAAGGGCGAGTTGGGGGCCAGGACGTCTAAATGAACGAACTGGGGGGGCAAGATAGCCTGAAGAGAAGAGCTGGCGGCACAGAGAGTCTAAATAGACGAGCCACCAGGCAGGGGAGTGTAAATAGACGAGCCACCGGGTAAGAGAAGAGCTGGCGGTCCAGGGAGTCTAAAGAGATGAACTGGAGGTTCAGGGAGTTTAAATAGGGATTTCTAATAGGGGCCAGGTGCATTTCCACTAGGGACCAGGAGGTTTCTCACTAGGGGTCAGGGGGATTCTCCCTAGCGGCCAGGGAGGTCTCCTCCAATTTGCCGTCTGCTCTACCATAGACGGACTTTCCGGCTCATCTACACTACAGTCTCTACTCTCTATCTCTACTCTACAGTAGACGGACCATCTCTACTCTACAGTAGCCGGACCCTACCCAGTGGGGGGTCCGGGGGATTCCCCCTAGCGGCCAGGGGGGTTTCCTCCCATTTACCGTCTACTCTACCGTAGACGGACTTTCCGGCCCATCTACTCTACAGCAGACGACGGACCATCTACTCTGCAGTAGACGACGGATCATCTCTACTCTATAGTAGACGACGGACACTCTCTACTTTACAGTAGACGACGAACCATCTACTCTGCAGTAGACGGACCATCTACTCTCTTCGGTAGACGGACCATCTACTATCTACGGTAGACGGACCATCTACTCTCTACGGGAGACGGACCATCTACTCTCTACGGTAGACGGACCACTTACTCTCTACAGTAGACGCACCATCTACTCTCTACAGTAGACGGACCATCTCTACTCTACAGTAGGCGGACCATCTCTACTCTACAGTAGGCGGACCATCTACTCTCTACAATAGACTGACCATTTACTCTCTACAGTAGACGGACCATCTACTCTCTACACTAGACGGAACATCTCTACTCTACAGTAGACGAGGGACCATCTACTCTTTTCCGTAGACGAACCATCTACTCCACAGTAGACGGACCATCTACAGCAGACGGACCATCTACTCTCTACAGTAGACGGACCATCTCTACTCCACAGTAGACTCTTCAGTAGAGGTCCAGAGGACCTCCAGGTCCATCTACTCTGCTGTTGCCGGCCTCTGTTTTTCAACTCATATTTCCCCGGAACCTAAAGACTTTTATCCCCAACATTTATTTTCCAAAATTCATTAAACTTTGAACCTTAAAAAGTAATTCCTTTGACCTAACCTAAGATATTCAAAGTTTTCAAATCTTTTTTTTTTTTGGTTTAACGAAAAACAAGTTTTCAAAACTTCATCCCCGAACAAGAAATCTCCTTCTTCTAATCTAGGGGTTAGTGAGGTGATGGTCATTTGAAATTTAATATCCTTGATATGGACTTCCTTGTTTCGTTAACTCCCACTACCCAAGAAATTCATTCACTACGGTGTCCTTTTCGGGTTTGACTTTTAAATTAGACTTGTGTGGGAGGTTTTTTTTTTATTTCTTTCTTACCAACTTTTTTTCCCGTTTCATTTCTTATATACCAATTAGGATTAGTGGCGTCACACGTTTTGTGTAGAAAGGACAAAAAAAGGAAAGTCGTGAAGAAAAAATATGTATTTATTTTCCCTCATGCCAGGAAAAACAAATGTGTAATGATGGGAAAGGTTTTTTTTTAAATTTATTCTCTCAATTGATATGTGTTTCTCTGGAAAACATATATTTAGTCTCTCTTCCTCTCTAATGCTCAGCTGTGATAATAGGCAGCCGTTATTCACCACAGCAACAACTCTCTACCGTAATTGTATCTCCCAAACATTGATGTAGAGACCATGGAGCTCTCTTATAAATTTTCTCTCAATTTTTTATGGTCTCAGTCTCAGTGTTTCGTATCTCTCTTTTATTCTCACAGGCGTTGCCATTGAGTCTATCTATGTACCGGAATGAATGTTGAGTTGTGGTGAATTTCTTTTTTCGTTACAAAACAAAAATTCATTGATTTCATTGAATAAAATTAGCGGAGAGAGAAGAGTCCTTCTCTCACTCTCTCGTTGTTTATAACGTTAGTTTGTGTTGAATTTCTTCCTACAAGAAATAAATTCATTGATTCGTTTCTCATGACTCCACCTCTGGCTCTCTGACTCTCTCTCTCTCATTCTCACCATCACAAATAACGCTGGGTAGGGAGGCATTGCTTTTCTTCGAATTTTTATATCCCTATCTTAAGGACATTTTTAGTGTTGTGTTTGCCAACTGTAAACTTGGAGGATATATTTTTATATTTCCTAGAATTTGAAGACAGAACATGACCCATGACCATTGAAAAAAGCATTTTCGAAAGAGAAAATGAATGTGAAACAGAAAGGACAAGAAATAGGTGGGAGTTGTTTCCAGGGACGTTAGCCGGTTGTTTTTTTTTTTTTTTTGCCTTTTTTTAGGGACTTCTATTTTTGTTTATGTGGAGGAATGAGTCAAACATAATTTAAGGAATATACGTACATAAATGTGTATGTATGTATATATTTTTTCTGAAGTCCTGAAATGACTCAAGGCATAAAAATATTTGCTGACATTTTATACTAAAAAAATTGAACTAAAAATTAAATATAGAAAATTTAAAGAAAATTATGGGCTACTACAAATCGGGAGGAGTATCACAAAATACTGAAATTTCTGATTCAAACTCATTTAAAAATATTGAAAATCGCCTAGTATTAGGATAATCCTTAGGCCAGTTACTCTTAGAGCTCCTCACATTACGAGAGTGAAGTCCTTCGACATACTATAAAATTCCGAGAAAGTGTAGTATCTCAAATCGAGTCAAAAATCCCCTAAATCGGACTTATTCAGCAAAAGTAACCAGTAACCGGTTTCTATGTCAAAATATTTACCTTACATTGCTGTTTCTTTTATTTCCTCATAAAATTTGGCTACATAAAAAACGGGTATTCTCGTTGTTGTAGTGGTTACCGATGTGAAACCGATTTGAAAAACTCGAGTAACCGGTTACTATGTCAAAATATATACCTAAAATTGCTATTTCTTTCATTTCCTCATATGCTGTGGCTACATAAAAACGGATACTCGTGTTGTTGGAGTGGTTATCGGTTACTTAACCGATAACCGTTTCGAAAAACTCGAGTAACCGGTTTCAATGTCAAAATATTTACCGAAAATTGATGCTTCTTTTATTTTCTCGAAAAATCTGGCTACATAAAATACGGGTACTCGTGTTGTTACAGTGGTTATTGGTAACTTACCCGGTAACCGTTTCGAAAAACTCGAGTAACCGGTTTCAATGTCAAATTATTTGCTTAAAATTGCTGTTTCTTTCATTTCGCCACGTACTGTGGCTGCATAAAAAACGGGTACTCGTGTTGTTGCAGTGGTTATCGGTTACTTAAATACAGCAAACACACAAGTCACTGATATTTTTTCCGAAAAAATTGTCTCAAAAGCTGAGAACTGTTTTTTATTTGCCATTGCAACACAGAAGTAATCGATAACCGCTCCAAAACGTGAGTAACCGATTTTGAGTTCCAAAAAATTGTCCTAGAAAACTGAGAACTGTGTTTTTTGAACCATTGATGTAGTCGAACTTCATAATATAACACAAGGAACAAATAACCGTTTCAAAAATGCTCACTTATTTCGGCTTTATTCCGAAAAAATAACCGATAACCTATTTGAAAAATTCGAGTAATCGGTTTCTATGTCAAAATATGTACCTAAAATTGCTGATTATTTTATTTCCTCATATACTATAGCTATATAAAAACGGGTACTCGTGTTGTTATAGTGGTTATAGGTAACTTAACCGGTAACCGTTTCGAAAAACTCGAGTAACCGGTTTCAATGTCGAATTATTTGCATAAAATTGCTGTTTCTTTTATTTCGCCATATACTCTGACTACGTGAAAACGGGTACTCGTGTTGTTGTATCGGTTATCGGTTACTTAACTACAGCGAACACACAAGTAACCGATAATTCGTCCGAAAAAATTGTCTCAAAAAGCTGAGAACTGTTTTTTATTGACAATGGCTACATAAAAGTAATCGATAACCGCTTCAAAAACTCGACTAACCGGTTTGTAATTGGTCTATAGTTTTGCAATGGCAGTGGGACTGTTAATATTTTTATTATTTCGTTTTTAAAGTTTTATAGTTTCCCAAAAGTAACCGATAACCGGTCCAAAAACTTAAGTAACCAATGTTAAATAACCATATTGTTCCAAAATTATAACGGTTATTAGTGCATTTTTCTCACTATACTTTTATTTGTCCTTTTAAACCCGCACAAGTAGTCAATAACTGCTTGAAAAACTCGAGTAACCGGTTTTCAATTACATTAGATATTAAATGATATTAATAAATAATGGGATTTCTTTATATTTATTATTTCGTTCATTAAGTTTCATAACTGTGCAAAAGTAACCGATTTATAAACGCAAAAGTGAGCGATAACCGCTTTAAAAAATCGAATAACCGGATTTCAGGTAACCGATAACTGGTTCAAAAAATTATGTGAATGGTTTCCATAATTTTTCTAAATTATGAGGATTATTAGTGAATTGTAACCGATAACCGCTTCATAAATGCGAGTAACCGGATTTTAATTGCTACGATATTTTTCCAAAGCCAATGGGAATTGTATGGTACTCATTATTTCGTTCAATAGGCTTTATAATTCCAAAAAGTAACCGATAACCGGTTCAAAAATTTAGGTAACCGTCTTTTAGAGCCACATATATCCAAAATTTTAAGGCTTATCAGCAAATTCTCTAGATTTGTTTTAATTTGACTATAAAAACCAAACAAAAGTTAACCATAACCGGTTTCAAAACTCGGGTATCCGGTATTTAATTATTTCCAGATTTTTCCAAAACCTAAGGAAATTTTATATTATACTGAATTGCATTATTGTATTGTATTATTTCGTTCATTAGGCTTTATAATTGAAAAAAGTAACGGATAACCGGCTTCAAAAATTTAAGTAACCGGCTTTTAAGTGTCATATTTATCCAAGATTATAAGGCTTATGAGCAAATTATCAAGATTTATTTTAATTTGGCTTTATAAAACCGGCAAAAGTACTCGACAACCGGTTTCAAAACTAGGATAACCGGTTTTTAATTCTCACCAGATTTTTCCAAAACCTGAGGAAATTTTTTGTATTATACTGAATTGTATTATTATATCGTGTTATTTCGTTCATTGGGCTTTATAATTCCAAAAAGTAACCGATAACCGGTTCAAAAATTTAAGTAACCGGCTTTTAAGAGTCACATTTATCCAAAATTTTAAGGCTTATCAGCAAATTCTCTAGATTAATTTTAATTTTGCTTTATAAAGCCGCCGAAAAATAACCGATAACCGATCGATAACTCAAAGCTGGGGTAACCGGTTTTTAATTGGCACCAGATTTTTCCAAAACCGAAGCAATTTTTTTTTATTACCAAATTTTTTTATTACCAAATTTATCATCAAGTTGTCTACATTTGTTTTAATTTGGCTTTATTAAACCGGCAAAAGTAACCGATAACCGGTTCCAAAACTCGGGTAACCGGTTTATAATCTTTACCAGACTTTTCCAAAATCTAAGAAAATTTATTGGATTAATTATTTCTTTACTAAAATTCATATTACCCTAAAAGTAACCGATAACCATTCAAAAATTTTTCGAGTCACCGGATTTTTATTGTCACCAGATATCTCCAAAACTAAAGAAAATGTATTGGAATAATTATTTCTTTAAAAAATCATATTTCCCTAAAAGTAACCGATAACCGGTTTGAAAATTTTTCAAGTAAGCGGTTTTTTATTGTGACCAAATTTTTCCAAGACCAAAGTAATTTATTGGATTAATTATTTCTTTGAAAAAATCATATTTCAAAACAGTAACCGATAACCGGTTTGGAAACTTTCAAGTAACCATTTTTTTTTTTTTAAGAGAAAATTTCTAAAATTCATTATTCCTGGGTGTTTGAGCCCAAATTGGAAATTCTCTGGAGGGGTAAATGAGATAATGCATTATTTGGACATTGACCAGCAGCATTAGCAGGGTAAAGATTGTGGGCAAAATACCTGCCTCGACCTGGATATATAATTTTTTTAGGAAAGATAGGGGGAGAGAATGTTTGTTCGTATCACTCAATTGTAGGGGAAGATGGATCCCAAACTTACCATGTATTTACTTTTGATGCCGGCATATCCCGCCACAATGGCATTTGGCGGAGTACCCACGGGCAAATGGAAGGCCATGCTGGTGGCAATGCCAGCCGGGAATACCAACATGATGGGGTTCATTTTAATGGCAACGGCCTGGGGGGAGGGTAAACACAACCATTCCATAGGGGTTAGAGGTTAGGAAAATTACTTCAGGATTTGAAGGGCATTTTTAAAGAGAGGGAGAATTTTCCTTACCAGCTCCTGGAGTATGGGTATGAGAATGTTACAAATCGGCACATTGGCACTGAAGTTGGTCAAGAATATCCCCGCGGAAATGGCCGAAAATTGTATGGCAAAATCAGGCCAGGATTGCAATGCAGACATGGTCTCTCCCAATAGCTTGGCCATGCCACTCTCCTGGCTGGCATCGGCAAGGGCAAAGCCACCACCTGAAAATTAAAGGGGCAGGAATTGTAAAGTTCTCCAGAAAACCTCGTTTCACTTACCCAGCAGAAAAACCAGGCCCCAGGGAACATGATTGTGCACAAAATCCCAGGTTAGCAATGACCTCTCACGTTGCGATGGATGGGGACCTGGAAAAGGTGGGTTTTAAAGTTTTCTCAAAAGGGAGTGCCTGGACTTACCCTTGGACCTCAAATGGTGGCAGTAGTAACAAGTCATGGGAAACAGAAACAAGGCCAGGACCGTTAACATCACCGCAGCAGATGTTTTGATGGAGCTGAAAACAAAGAAGAGAGGGTGAGTCTTGGAGGGAGTCTAATGAAAGGGATTTTCCTACACGGCATTCAAAAAGTCAGCCCATCCTGGCATAAATCCAGGCGAGCGAGTAAAGAGCAGCCCAATCATGGCCAAAAACCAAAACAGAACCTGCCATTCATGCCAGGACATTGGACCTAATTCCTCATATTTTTCCAATACCACCGACCTAACGGTGTCGGCAGCTTGGGCGCCACTTGACAATTCTTTGGCCACCTGGCTAGAGCGGCGTCCCAGCCCCATGTGTGATATTTGTAGACTGAGGAATAACAACACTGTGTCGCCGATCACCATGGGCATGGACCAGCCCATGAAGCGGGGAAAATCGATTTTATCCGTGGCCTCGGGAAAACGTCTGGGGGGAGGTAAGGGGAACAGAAAGCTCAATCTGAATCAGAAATTTGCCTTTACTTAAACCTACCCCTCAAATAGACCCTTGAATGTTAAGTTCGTGCCCGTTCCTATGAGGGTGCCACACCCACCTATGGTCGAGGCATAGGCTATGCCAAAGTAGAAGGCCAGGGCTACCCGGGAGGAATGGCGTTTACCCTCGCTGGCAGGTTCTTCATCCTCAGGCATCCAAATCTCCAAGACATGGTTCTGAAATTGAGAAAAAAACCGCTCAACATTTTGAGAAATGTCTCGCGATACTCCTACCGTTTCCAGTTCCTGCAGCACTGCCTTGACAATGGGACACATCATGGCCGTTGTGGCCGAATTTGAGATCCACATCGATATGAAACTGGTCACACAAATCAGGCCAATGTGTAATCTGAAAAATTTCGAAATCAAATTTTGATTTTGGATCCAGAAAGTGTTGCTACTAACCTCCGAGGACTACAGCCCACCAGGAGTATTGTTTTCAGTGCCAAACGCTTGTGCAGATTACAGTATTCAATGGCCGAGGCCACAATCAGGCTGCCCAAGAACATGGCCAGGGTGTCTTTGAAGTAATTTTGACAGGTTCTTTCGGAGCTCTGAAACATGGGGGTCAAAGGGGAAAAATACAAAAAAGTTAATCTGAGAGAAAAGTCCTATTCTCTCACCAAAATCTGCATAGCCGGCAGGGCAAAAATCGGCATCAGTGAGGTAACATACAGGGGAATACATTCCGTTATCCAATAGAAACAACAAATCAAGATCAAATACATGCAGCGGAATTCCTGGAATTAGACAACAATAAATGAGAGTTCAAGAGAGGGAGAGAGAGAGTTTTTTTCTCTTCTTACCGCTCTCCCGGGAAAACAAAATATCAATGGACTAAAGGCCAGGGGTATACAAATGGTCAATACTCCCTTCCAATGATAACGGCAGAACCTGGTCGCTAGAGCGGCTTTTGAGGGTAATTCAAAATCCCTTCAAAGAGAGAAAGAGAGGGAGAGAGAGAAACTATGAGCAGCTTCACTCCCCAATCGAATGCGATACTTACGACATGTTTGGAAAACAAGAAATAGAAAAAAATAATTTTTTGTTTTGAAAAATGTCATAGAATTTTCAAAACAAAAAAATTGGAAATAATTTGCAGTTTTGGAAAAAATTCGATAATTATCGATAACTTGTTAAAATTCAATTTTATTTTTTGCTATCGATTAAAACATTGGCGAATGATATTTCTTGAGGAAACAGAAATTTATTTCAATAATGTATATTTTTTTAAATAGGAAAAAACTTATCGATAAAAATATTATCGAAAAATTGTCCTTTAGAAAAATGATTTTTTTTTTAAAAATACATATTTTTATATATTTAAAAATATGTTATCGATAACTATAACACACTTTTTTATCCAAATTCCGTTTTTTCTCTTACAGGTTATCATCGTCGAGTTCGAAAAGTCATTCGATAACAAACAACCTTTCGATAACTTGCCCATGATGCGACGAAGTCCAACCTAAGGGCACCAACACTTGGCAACACAACTTAGGTTTGATGATTTTCGTCGTCGCCGTCGTTAATTTCATTCCGCTAAACGACCACGTCGACCCACGTCGAATATGCAGAGTCTAAGCAAAAGTCGTGAAGATTTGGTTACAGCTTCAAAATTAGCCTCACAAATAGCTTTAGCATCGTACAAACATCAGCGACATGGCAGCAGTCCGAATTTGTATCGCGATCAGACGGATAACATACAAAAGAGGTGAGTAGAAAGGACACTTAAAAAAATTGATGACGACAAACGATAAATTGTGTTATCGAATGTTTTTTTTTTTGCGATTAAACAAAGAGAAACAAACATGGTATGGATAGAAGATGATATTTTATGTTATCGATAAATTATTATGTTGAGAAATTATGTTATCGATAACTACCGATAAATTGTGTTATCGAATAATATCGAGAAATTGTGTTTTTTTTACTAGAGAAACAAATATTGTATGGATAGAAGGCGATATTTTATGTTATCGATAACTTTCGATAAATTGTGTAATCGAAAAATATTGATAATATAGTTTTTTACGATTAAACAAAGTAAACCAAATAAGGTATCGATAAAAATCGATATTTAATGTTATCGATAACTATCGAAAAATTGCGTTATCGAAAAATATTGATAAATATAGCTTTTTTACCATTTAACAAAGAGAAACAAATATGGTATGAATAGAAGACGATATTTTATGTTATCGATAAATTGTGTTATCGAAAAATATAGGGAACCTATGTATTGTTGATATTCAACAAAGAAAAACAAATATATGGTATGGATAGAAGACGATATTTTATGTTATCGATAACTATCGGAAACTTATGTTATCGAAAAATATCGACAAATTATGTTTTTTTTTTTTTGCTGAGAAACAGAAACAAATATGGTAAGGATAGAATACGATATTTATGTTATCGATAGATATCGATAAAATGTGTTATCGAAAAATATTGATAAATATAGTTTTGGATAGAATACGTTATCGCAGGATAGAATACGACATTTTATGTTATTAATAAATTGTGTTATTGAGAAATATAGTTTTTTTTACGATAAAACAAATAAGGTATGCATAGAAGACGATATTTTATGTTATCGATAAATGATGTTATCGAAAAATATGGAGAAATTATTTTTGATTTTACTATTCAACAAAGATAAGCTGAAATGGTACCGATAAAATTCGATATTTGTGTTATCGATAACTATCGATAAATTGTGTTATTAAAAAATACCAAAATATTTCAAAATATTAAATATTATCGATACGTAACGATAAATTGTGTTATGGAAAAATATCGATAAACATGTTAGAAACATGTTATCGAAAAATATAGTGAAACTATGTATTTTTACTATTCAACAAAGAGAAATAAATATGGTATCGATAAAAGTCGATATTTATGTTATCGATAAATACCAAAAAATTTCCTATTTTTTTATTTTTTTACTATTTAATATGGAAACGACAAAAGTCGATACGTATCGATAAATTGTGTTATGGAAAAATATCGATACGCATGTTAGAAACATGTTATCGCTAATTATTGATACATTTTGCTATTGAAAGATGGGTATTTAGCAAACTAGTTATCGATAAATATGGAAAATATGTTGTGGATAATATATTTCTTAGAGTAAAATAAAATAAAAAATAATAAATTTTAGAAAAAGCAAGAAAAACTGAGGTTATCGATAACTATCGAAAAATGTTTGTTATCAATAGCTTTCGACAAATTTTTGTTATCGATAAACCTGTTATCGAAGAAAAGTTTTTCGGAAATTCGACACTTTTTTCAATAATATGCACTGTTTATAACAAAAAATAAGCTATCGATAACTATTGGAAATTTTTTGTTATCGATAAACGAGTTATCGAAGAATAACTTTTTAAAAAACAGATTTTTTTCTAGAATACATATTTTTGGTAACAAAAAAGGTTATCGATAATTATTGAAAATTTTTGCTATCGATAAATGTGTTATCGAACTTTTTTCAAAAATCCACATTTATTTGAATCCTCTAAGTGCTCTGTTCCAGGAACTGCAATCTACTAGTTTTGCAATTTTTTTCGATATCATAAAGAAAAAAATCGTAAAAAATTTACATTCTGGATAGACGTGTTATCGAAAAAAATTTTTTTAGAAAAAAGAAATTTTCGAAAAAGAAAGAAAAACTGAGGTTAAAATTTTTGTTATCGATAAACGTGTTATCAAAGAATAGTTTTTTTAGAAATCCGACATTTATTTCAATAATATGCACTGTTTATAACAAAAAATAAGCTATCGATAACTATTAGAAAATTTTTGTTATCGATAAATGTGTTATCGAAATATAGGTTTTTATACAACCGAATTTGTTTTGGAATACATATTTTTGGTAATAAAAAAGGTTATCGATAATTATTGAAAATTTTTGCTATCGATAAATGTGTTATCGATTTTATTTCAAAAATCTAAATTTTTTTGAATCCCCTAAGTGCCTTGTTCCAGAAACTGCAATCACCAATGGAAAATTTTTAAATTCCACTTGTGCTCCTCCCGGCTTAGGGAATCGAACCCGTCCAATGTACTCCACTTCGTCTTGGCCAATTCCCTTCCTTCAAGTTTTTTTTCTTTCATTCAAGCAACGATCGAACACGTGTACTTTGTATGTCGGTTATTACACACAAAATGTACCCACAATTCCTGTGATTGACTCTCTTTGTAAACACTCTCTGCTGTTATTCTCTTTCTTTCTCTCTTCCTCAACTAAACCAAGTTGCCGCAAAAGCCATCTAAAAATATCAATCAATAAAATAATTGCAAATCGTGGTATAATTACGTATGAATGTTGTTATTATTTTTTTTCTTTTCGAACCGCTTATATGGCCATGTGTGTATGCCTGTGTTGGTGTTGGTGTTGCTGCGATGTTGGTCGACCAGCCAACCTACCAACAATTCGTTGGTTCCCACAACACCTACGGAAAGTTGGAGCCATCAGAAAAGTAGTTGCGTAGTTGTCTTATTTTGTTTTTTTAGACGATGTCGTCAAAGCTGCTCTCAAAAAAAAATATTCACATGGCCAAAGGTGGTATGTGGAGATGGTGGCCGGATGGTTGGAGAGATGGCTGGTTGGATGGCTGGTTGGTTGTATGGCAATAGCAATAAATTTCGAATGCAATGCGACTTAATGCTTGGCTGGCTGCCTCAATAGTTACCAGCAGTACGGCCTTTAGGAAATTCGTCAAGTGCCACACAGTTACCCATGTGTGGGGGGATGCCGTAGAGAGTGACAGATTTAATTTTTTCTATGATTTTTTTTATAATTCTCCCTTACTTTGAACCTTTTGGCTTCGATTTTTCGTTACGAAGTTGTGAAAATTGGAATTCAACCATCTTCAAATGTTTGGTTTTAACTCTCTTGAGAATGTCATCTGAATTCATATTTTACAGAGAACAGCAGTGAGGGAGAGTGAGAGAAAGAGCGGCACACATTCAGAGAGAAAATAACGTATAAGGTCGTTGTTGTTATCGGAGTATTGTTTACAAATATCAGAGATGGAAGGGCCATAGAAATGGTACGTTTTCTGTAGAAAATGTACAAAACCGGATTTTTGCTTGTGAGAGAGAAAAGAATAAGTTTCCATGGGGACAAGCAGAGGCCGGACTTCCAGAATAATTCAAGAGCATAAAAAAGGCTTTGACAAATATCTTTAAACACAAACGTAAATGCAACGCTCGATATAAAAAACTGCAACCAATTTCAGACTGCTGTCATTTCTAAGCCACTTGTCCGACAGCTGTTAAACTTATTCCAGTGACAGCTCATTATATTGTTTACAAGCGTACAAAAGCATTTTCGTGAGAATTTTCCAGAAAAAAAGTTATTCGCGATGGAATTCAAGGGTGATAGTGTGATTTCTTTACATTTGGCTGGAGAACCTCAAGTGGCTATCGTTAGAGCACTCCAGCATTTAAATGTGAATAAATCTTTTGTGTCTCGTACCTCGTGCCTCTCGTCTGGTAGGGTAGCCCGACATAAAGGAAGTGGACGGAAAAAAACAGTAACATTTGCAGAAATGGTTCGAAAAGTAAAGAAGCGATTTGATCGCAACCCGCGTCGCAGTGGCCAAAAAAAAAGGGCTCGTGAACTGAACATATCGCAATATTCCATTCGGCAAAAGTTGAAAAATTAGCTCGGGGTAAAAGCATTGAAATTCCAAAAAGTGCAAGAACTTACACCGCAACAGAAAGAAAATAGAGTCAAAAGAGCTAAAGAGTTGCTTCGCTTGGCTGAAAGTGGTGAACTGCCGAATTTGGTTTTCTCCGATGAGAAAACATTCGTTGTCCAGCCGAACGGCCATGGTGATGGTGTGGGGCCGCCATAACAGCCAATGGCCGCTCTCTCCGCTCGTATTAATCGACCGTAGCATTTGAATAAATGCCGAATATTATCGCGAAAGGTTACAAAATGAGAAAGGTTACAAAATGAGAAATGAGAAATGAGGTTCCTCGCTTCATTTCTGGCGCACAATGGCCACCAAAATCTTCGGATACCAATCCGTTGGACTATTGTGTCTGGAGTATTTTGCAGGGAAAGCAAGGTTGGCACTAAAAAAACCAAAGTGTCGTTCACCTAAAGCAAGCGCTTCGCCGGAAATGGGATAAAATACCGCAGAGCAACATACGGGTAGCGTGAGACAATTTCATTCGCCATTTTAAGGCCATAATTCGTGCCAAATGTGACCAATTGGAACAAATCTAAACTTATTCTAAAATTTGATGTTACTTCCGACATTTTTTGTTTTCATTCGTTTCCTTTAAAATAACTTAATTTAAAATCCGGACTCTGGGTGTTTTTTTTTTAATTTTCCCAAAAAATCGACCTTTGAGGCCCTGGGTTTGGCTATTAAAAAATGGTATTTTAAAATTCACTTTTAAGCCTCTGACAAGTTTTTTTAAAAATTCTACAAAAAAAAATCTCTCTGTGTAAACCTTTAAAAAAGTCTTGAAAAATCCAAGTTATAGGCTCTGAATGGTCCTCTAAATTAATTTGAAAAAAATTCTTGTTAGGGTCTCTGGATGGTTCTTTTAAAATTTTCCTAAATAAGCCACATTTGAGGCCCTGAATTCTGTTTTAAAAGTGTTCATTTAAAATTCACATTGTTTTTTTTTTTATTACTCCCAAAAGGCTCGGAATGGTCCTTTAACGTGGTGTTAAAAAATCCA